ACACTGGAGGTGGGGGAAGCAGCTCTCATTTTAGCTGAGGTCTTTGGTTTAGTTTTGCTTTGTTTTTTTCACCTGAGGAACTCAGCACAACTAAAGCGCGTTTCGATTCATGATCAACTTCTGCTTTCTTTCTGCTCTCACTACCAGTGTGCTGATACTGTACAAAAATTGCTCAGACATAAGATCAATTAAAAAGAAATGGCATTGTCTTTTCTTATGCCATCACATACAAGATACAACATTTGTCTTTTATGTTTGCATGCAGACTAAATTGTACAATATTTGAGAGGTTTGGCTGTAGGTTTTTTTGACTACCTCTTAAGGTCAGTTCTGATGTATAAACACTTTCCCCCCTGCTTTAAGTACTTTCAGCTGCTTATTTTCAAGAAATTGTTTGTTTGTTTGTTTTTCCTTTTCATCTGCAATACAAAAGCTGTACGGCTGAGTGACAGATGGAGCCAAACTTTCACTCTAGTTAGAGGAGAGCAGTATAACTGACCAGGCAGGCGGTGTTTGCTTCAGGGTGAGCTGAACAGCCTTCTCAGTTGGATAATATAATTAGACTGTGGACATCTAGTTTAGATGTAGGCACCTAAAATTCAGACTTAATGGGAACTGAATGAGCTTTTGCGACTTACTGTGCAACACTAGTGCACAGTAAGTTATAGATCACTGCACACTAGCAAGTTATAGATCACTGGAAGAGGTATTTGAGAGCATCTATCAAAGGTTTCTTAAATAATTCCCTCTTGTCAGTTTGACAGGGTTTTTCTCTATTTTACCAAAGTGAAATCTCCCTTAAAAAAAACAACAACCAAACCCCCAAACCAAACTAAACCAAAAATACCCACAACTGTATTTTTAAATCTTAAGTTTTAATTTCTTCGCATTGAAGGTCTTTGGTATCTGCTTTCCTTGCAGTATTTGTTGGCAGTAAGACTTCTCTATTTCAGCTGTTTCTGTTACCGTTACACAAAGGTGCTGCTGAAGCCTGGCTCAAGCATTGCTAAAAAAATAGTTGTTAGAGCATCTGAGGTGAGAAAAGCCAAGGCATTCAGCACACCTCCCACTGCTTCTATTCCCGTACTCACTCCTAGAACACTTGTAATGCAGACAAAATTTTTAAATGCCTGATATGAATTACTGGGAAAGTGACTGTGTGGAGAACACTGAGATGATTCGCGTATTTTATGGATGACTGATTTTAGTATAAAGCAAAACATTTCTTAAAAAGCGTTCTGTAAGTAAAGGTTTTATATGATGCACTGAAAGTAGGAGAGACCTGTTCTCACATGACTTAAAAAGGGATTCATAACTATAAACTTTGAAGAGGTAATTAAAATCTGTGTAGAGTGTGGAACGAATTTAATCTTTTTTCAAAGCAAAGCTGCTTGTAGTATAGACAGATGTCTCTCTGCTGCTGTGCTCACACAAAAGTGAGGATTTTAGGTTAATATACCTGTTTTGCAATGTTTGAATTCTTTGCTTATACACCCCTAAGGCTTCCTCCAGCAGAGCTGACAACAGCTTTGCCTCACCGAGCAGTTAGAGGAGAATTAGGGACACCTAATACCCACAGCAAACTCAAAGAAGTATGAGAGCACAAAACAAAGATGCTTTAATCTTTTAAAGAAGACAAAATAAACTCTACACAAAATCATTCTTACAGTGAAATGTTGCTTAGTTGCTCAGTTGCAGTTGAAGCTAAAAGAGGGACCACACCTTAGGTGAAGGCAATTAGGAATTCCAACTCGTAGCTTTGCCAGCTCCTGTTAAATGGCAGATCAGTCTAAAAGGATATTGTGTACAAAAAGTATTTGAATCAAACGCTGTTCATCTATTTTTCTTCTGTACAGATCTCAAAACAATGAGCGAGCGTCTCAAGAATAGGTACTACGTGTCTAAGAAATTATTCATGGCAGACTTGCAGCGGGTCTTTACAAATTGCAGAGAGTACAACCCCCCCGAGAGTGAATACTACAAATGTGCCAATATACTGGAGAAATTCTTCTACACAAAAATTAAAGAAGCTGGATTAATTGACAAGTGACACTGTCTATTTTACAACCAAACAGTGTGCCTACTTTATGGGCAGGGGAAGCCATTATATATCTGAGATGTGGGACTTTAAGGCTTCAGGAAACTTCTGTTTAATACTTAGCACTTTTAAAAACCCTTTTAGTTTTGCAAACATGTATTATACTGAAGTTATGAAAATTATTTTATTAAAATGCTTTATAATGTATTTAATTATGGAAAATTTCTTTTGTGTGCCCATTATCATATGTTCATAATAAGTTTATCAGCTACAGCCTCAGAAACCCCACACAGAACATGTGGGAAATTGCACATGTTTGGGGATATGAAGAAAATTCCCAAACAACAGATGTTATAGCTTACCTAATGCAGTACCTATTTGATAAAGTTTTATTATTTTTTTCCAGTAAAAAAGAAAACAGTAAGGGAAGACAACAGTTGGGGTTCTTTGTAGAATCTTTTTATAAGATATTATTTTTTAAAAGAAACACTCAGCTGGTTGAGAAGCTGTGAGAGAAGAGCAGCCAGTTCGGAAAAAAGGACTGCCTGTAATCTTTGGTAGATGCAAGTTTTTCTATTCGTTTTGGGTTTTGATAAATATTTAACCTGCAAATTGTAATCTCATAACCACTATTTAAAACAGAATAAATATCTGGCTAGATGTGTAATGTCATAGTGACTTGGCTTATGCAGGACATAAGTACCCAAATTAACTTCAGAGAATCTGATTGGCGTACGCTAGACGATTTCAATTAGCTTAGTAAAGGTTTTGATGCACTTCATGATCCACCCTATTTGCCACTCTTCACTGATAAATTCTTTAGATTATTCAGTAGAGATTCAGAGACTATCGTACACAAAAGAAGTCAACATATGACAGCTTCTAGCTTATGTACTCGGCTCTGTGGTAAACTGGATTTTCTACCAAGCTTTATTATAAATGCTTATTAACTGTGATTATTTAGACCTGGGAACATATTAACATTTTACAACTCATGTTAGTATATCTTCAAATTGAGCACTTGTATATATAATATATATATTTTGCTGCTTACACTACATTTAAGAGGTACACCTAACTTCCTAATGGTGATCAGTACAGGCCAATAAGTTGTCACTTGACATTTTCTAATTCGAGTTTGTAACTGTAAATTATAATAGCTTTTGTGAAAAACAGATTTAACTTTCGTTCTTGATGTTTTATATTTACAGATGTTACACTGGTAAAATTCAATAGTTATAAAACTGAAAAAAACCCCAACCCAGTCCTGTGCTGTGTCAAAGAATATATTCCTGCAAAATGCCTGTGCAATGATAAGTCACGAGTCAGTTCAGCAAGTAGATGTCAGGAAGTACCTGGAAGTAGTAAATGTGGTACACAAGGTATTAAAAATGTTAACACTAGACTTGCCATAGTGTTTTGTATGAGATTAGTCTGACCTACATTTGGATCTATAACAAAGGTACAGTGAGTATTATTTTTTTTTTAAATAGGCAGTACTGGATGCTATAATCCTGTTTTGTAGATTGGGCCTACAGATGCACCTGTTAAGCTTGGTATCCTGTGAAATTTTGTTATTTTCAGAGTAGATTTTCTTATCGTCTTTCAATCAGATTGTCTCTTCTATATTGAAACATTTGTTTTCTAATTTAAGAATTAATATTTTCATAGATACTGTGCAATAAAGTTACAGTAGGATATGTGGTTTTGCAAATGCTTTAACAGCTGATGAACTTTACATTTGTAAAATTAATATATTGTATTGGTACAGAATAGTTTTAAATTATATATGTACAAAACTACTTATTTTGGTCTCTTTTTTCATTACTTAGTTCTTACACTACAAATACACACACTGAAGCAATTTCACAACTGCACACAGTGAAGCTACAAGAGTACAGTCTGTGCATCTTCCAGGTACAGTAGAAAATATGCAAAAAAGCCTGGGTGTTCACTGGCAGCATGGTGTGCTAAGCTGAGCTGGGAATTCGGTATGGAAAGCTGTGACCATTCAAAATAGCATTCCCAGTTCCGTACTAACTGAGCTACAGCAGTGCTGTTATTCCTGTCTCCTCTTTGACTGAGCTGTTAGAAAGTTCTGATTTTTCACCTCAAAGCACGGTCACGCTCTTTTCCTGGTTTTGTCTACTATACTCTTTTACTCACAAGACACCACATCCATAGGAGCAAACTACAGTCTACCTTGAGCTTGTACTCACCTACGATCACCATGAGGTTACTCAGCTGGTACACTTGTCTTACAGACCAGAAACAAACCCTGCACCTGTCTAATACCTGACAGACAATTAGAGAGTATGAAGAGGTTTATTTCCACCCCCCACAGGATTTAGTCCTGTGCCCCATCATGTAGAAGTGTACTTGTTCAGAGGGTAGCAAATGGGGGGCAGGAGGGGCTTGGCCTTTTTTTCTGGATGCTTCTAGGAATATCAGTTGAGATATTCCTCATTCTTTTTCTGTCCCTGATAAACAGCTGTTACAGATTTGTTTGCTGAAAGAAAAAAGCAAGCAGAATAATTTAATTTCAAGTAAGTTTCTTTAGTACTATAGGGTTTCAGAATGACCGTGGTGCAAAAGAGAACACCAACCAACTCCAAGCTGTTTCCAAACACTAAAACATTTATTACGAGCTTCAATATGAAACTACAACCATTACATAAACAAGATCTGTACAAACATTATTAAGAAAAACCAAAAACGTTTCCTTTGAAGTGCCTGAAGTTCACCTTTGCCAACTGCTGTGAGATCAAACAGGGTTTAAATAATAAAATTACATTCATCATCTTTTTCATAAGGTATTTCTGATACGCTCACAGATCCATGACATAGGAATGCCTCCTCTCAAGAGTTTGAATGGAATCACCTTAGTTATAAAAGTAGTCTTGTGCCTTCAATTATCATTTAAAACAAGTCACTGGATTAAAACCAAAATGCCTTAATTTTATATCCTTAATATTAGACACATAGAAATAATTCCACATTTGTGTAAGATACCGTGCAACAATAACTTCCTGGATGAAAGATGTCTTTTCTTCATGGAGTGAGCATGGTTTTGCTATCATGGCTGCAAATCTCAACGACAACCAACAAATTTCTCATTATATTTTGATAGAGATTCTTTCTTAAGAGAATGGCGTTTAGCATCTTTTTTCTGCTTGAAAATTGGAGAATTGAGAAAATTTGTATCTGTAAATGGATCTCCTCTCCTGAGTTTCCTGTTAAAAAAACACCAACAAAAAAGGCAAAATTGAGTTTTGTTCCCCACATCACTTAAAACATTAACTTTCAGCTAATAGGTTCAATTTCACATGAACTATTTCATATTACTAACATCAGACCTCTCATTGAATGTTTTTTTTTTTGTTAAGAACTTATTTCCAATATTTAAATAACCCACTCAAATCCTCCATTTGATTGAGGATCATGAACTTTGTATCAAACTGGAAAGCAAGACACCTACCCTGCAATACTTGGTTCTTTATAGCTCACAGTAAGAGTGCAGCGTCGCTTGCGTTTTGGAGATTGTGGTTCTTCACCTTCTGGTACAACAGTTGCATTCCCAGTGCTGGGGAGCAGTGAAGCAGTGTTGGTGACATCACACAGATGACCACGAGGTGGCTCAGAAGGCTGCCCTGGGAGGGAATTAGGCACACTTAAGACAACTCAGGCAAGCTAGCTTAAGAGAGAAGGTCAATGAACATACTAGATGTAAAGTAACTCTCAGCTATAACTATTGTCTTCATCTTTCCACTTAAGAATACGTAAGAGGAATTCTTATTTGGAAAAATAAGTGCCAGGCAAAGTGTGTTTTGTTATTTCACCTCTCTCTCAATTTATACTCTTGTTCTTCTCTTTTCCTCAGCTTTAATACATCATTAAACACACCTAAAACACAGTATTAATTCATTGCTGACCAATTTCTTAAACAAAACATATCTTTATTCCAATTTCTGCTGTGGAAAAAAAAAAAAGGCTGGCAGAAGAATGAATCTAATGATTTTTATAACATCATTCTGTTTGTATTTAATAAAAACACTAAAATAAAAAAGCCTAAATACCTTAAACAATGTTATCTCTCTCAAAGAAACAAAACCAATTACAGAACACTTTCTACACTTACTAATAGATTTGTCACTTGATTTATTGCTTTCAGTCTCTTTTTCATTATGGAGTTTCTGCTCACGCTGCGCCAAACATCTTTTAGACCTTCGCCTTTCATGGACAGGCGACGTATCTGTGTTGTCCACTGAACTTTTCCTTTTTTTCGATTTACTCTTGTAAGGCTCATAGAGGCTATCGTCTGAATCTTCAATGTCACTTGACTCACTGGTATTAGTTTTGGATAAGTCTTCTTGGTCATCCACATCAGTGTCTGTGTCATTCACCTTATTTTGTCGAAAAGGTGTAAGATGGACACACTCTTCAAAATGAAAGTCATAAGCATCACAAGAGCCACCCAAGAAATCCAACTTTTCTTTGGAAGCCTCTTTACCCTGTCTTTTTTTTGGTCTTTGTCTGGGAATATTTTTAGGCCATTCCAGTTTTCCCTTTTGATGTTTCTTTTTCCTTACTTGAGAGTCTTCTGTGCCTTTACAGTCACGTTGTTTAAGATCAGAATTATTCCTTAAATTGAACTGTGCAGTGCCAGAATCTGTCTGCCTGAACACCATCTCTGAGCCTAACTTGTTTTCATTCAACTGAGAAATATCTGAATTTATGTTTTCTACAGTATGCTTCTCTAGACTTTCCTCAAGTCTAATTTCATCCAGTTTAGAAAGCTCCCTTGCTGAATCAGGTGCTTCTGAATGGTCCCAGACACCTGGGTGAAGTTCATCGTAATTTCTCGTCTTTGAATAGCGACGCCTGGTGGACACACTTTTTGGTAACACATTACCAAATCCATCCTCTCCACTTAAAGAAACATTTTCCAGCTCTGACCCTGTGTTGTCCAGATGAAAATCAGACGTTTGCCCTTGTAATTGAAGAGGAAAAAAGTCACGTTAAAGCTAAATAGTAACAGCCTGGAAAGGTTTTGTGTGCAAAACCTGAACCTGTCAAAAATTAAGACTATTCTTAGAATTTTCTCTACAGATTTATACAAACCAGTATTTGGCCATCAAGATAACCTCTGTTTAATACAGCTTCCAGACAGAAAGCAGTTAAGTATACTACCTGAGGATTTTCTTCCAAACTGTTCTGTTTGGAAAGTTATCTACAGGTCATTTATTTTTCTGAGTATTTTGCTTTGTTAACAACTGTTCATTTCATAAATGATAATGTATGACTAAAGATGACTTTACTCTCTGTTTGGTAGATAACGAAACTAGATTGCAGGTATATAGAAGACAAAGCATTTTCAAATTCCTCCCCCATTATGCTAGGCATCTTCATTCAAAAAGTTTACCAGTTGCCAATATTAATATCTAACCTTTATCATAATAAGTGGAAAATTACTTGACAGTTACTTCAAAAGTAGTAATTACATTTAAATGTTACACTCTCACTTCCCCCCTGCCCCCGATTCAGAAAAGAGCAACGCCTGATACTTTAGTTACCTTTGTCTGGAACTATTTTGATTAAGGAAACTGCATTGTCAGATTCCTCACAGATCTCTGACACAGAATGAGCCAGCTCGTTTTGATCACTATCAGCCTCCATCCCACTTGGAAGTACTTGGTGATCTCCATCAGCACACTGTAGAAGTCCTCTAGAGAAAATTCCAAAAGGTAGTGTTTACTGAATAGCAATATATTTTATGACAACAAACTACTTCATTACATTGTATTTCTTCCCTTTTTCCAGTCAGAAAATTAAGCTTACTGGAACAGAATTTTCAAATATAAATAGATAATTATAAAAGATACTTACACTGAACATATTTGTCCTGCGACATTGGAACTATTTTCAAGAGCTGAAGAAAGCACACTCTGATTCTGTCAACAAAATAAATCTTACTGTGACTAAATAGCTGAAACAAGCTTGCACCATATACAAGTTTTGGACAACAGTCAAGTTACCCACAGAATGGCCAAAGAAGCCCTTGACTCTTTTTCTGGCTGGCTGGCTAACACAAAGTGCTTTGGGATCTCACATACTCAGCTCCTGCAAGTCAGCTCATTTATCACCAACCCAACTATACAGATAGCAGACAGGAGAAGGAATTGTGAGGATGGTACAGGGAGCAAGATGCATACCCATAGAAAATCAGGGTAGCCCTACCCACCTCGTAGCAGAGCCTCAGTCCCACTAACAACCTACTATACCCCCCCATACAGTGGGACCCCATGTCATACTGGGAGCTGTGGGACTAGTTGTACCTCCAAACTAAGGCTCAAATCTCAAAAGCTGTGTGCATCTATACTGGAAAGAAGAATAATTAATAGAAATCCTGTCCCCCAAGAGGAAAAGGTACTTACTACACCTGTGGAACACAAATTCTTTGCTGGGCCAAGGAGAGCAATCGAGTTCAGTAAATTCTCAGAAACTTTTGACATTATCTCATTCAAGGCTGACAATTGATTCTAATGGACAAAAAAAAGGAAAATAACACTGTTGCTGTTATCCTCTAGTACAATACCTTCTCACCAGCATTATGAGATGACTAAATCCTGAGGATACCTGTGTCAGGTACCTTCAAACTGTGATTTAAAAAAAAAAAATAATAAAAAAATTACAGAATAAAATTTTAATTAACGAAGAAAGAGTAGCCAGGAAAAGAAATACTTAGTTAGTTAGCAGATTAGGTGAAAATACGAGAAAACTTGTTCTATATATTGAATTATTTTTTTATGAAACATATCATAAAGATATCAGTGGATTGGTACAGATTCTGATGTTCAGCTTCACTAAATCATAAAGTTATTATTTAAAAATACCTCACTAAGTCCTCGAGCTTGCTTGAACCTGAGATTTCTTTGCAAGTCAAACATCTGAACCTTCAGATCTTGATACTCTTTCCTTAACTGAAGGATGGTAACCTGGGCATCCCTCAGTTTAAGCTTTTCTTCTTGCAAAGCCTGAGCTAGAGCTCTGTTGTTTGCTTGGATGCTCTTCATTTGCACGGAGCTGTTTGCTGCAACATAACAGTGAGTATTTCAACTTGGTTTAAATAAAAAATTTATGAAAACTGTTAAGATATTTAAGCATCTTACTCGCTATTTTGCACTTTACAGTGGAGATCTGGCTTATTTTACCCAGCCTTGTCCATTTCTGATTTCTTTTCTCTTTCATTCTTTCTTTTATATCACCCAGAGTGTCTTTGAAGGGCCTTTTCAAGTATTTAGCCATCTTCTACCTTTAAAAATATAAAGGGTGAAGAACTCATTAAGCTGGTTTTGCACAATGCTCCCTAGCGCCAAAAGAAAACACACAGAGAAACAAGAGTAAAGCTTACGTTACTTATAAGTAGCATATACACACATAGAAGAGATCCACAAATACCAAAAAGACATACGGCTATGGCCCTTTTCAAAACAATTTTTGCAGCGCGGCTACTGTCGCTATGGCCCATTACCTGAAGTGCAAAACGCGATGTGCCCGCGGCGAAGACCAGGCCGAGGCCTCCAAACGCCCGCATCGGGGCGGTACGACGGGTGGCGAGGAGTGACGGTGGTGTCCGGGAGGCGTCGGAAGCGGACCGCCGCCTCCCCTCTAACACTGAAGGAAAACCCTTACGACACCCATCCCCGCGCAGCTCTGCATCCCCCCCCCACCCACCCCGGGCCG